GGCAATATGTCAATCAATGGAAGGGTAACTGATGTGATACAGCAATCTATAAATGGGGTAAAATTGGGAGTTCATAACCCACTTGAATCAAACTGGGAAATATGATGTATTAAGAACTATGTAACGTTTTGAATGACCAACAATAAAAACAATGGGAGTTCTTAACCCACTTGATTCAAACTGTGAAATATGATATATCAAGAACTATGTAATGTTTTGAACGACCAACAATAAATAAATAAAAAAAGGAAAGTTAAAAAAATTATCACTACACCTAAGAAAGTAAAAGATGATTTTCCTCCCCAACACTTACCTCTGTGATAGGCACTGCTAGGAAAAAAAAAGCCCATTTACTGTCCTCATCTCTACACACCTCCTGTGCTGTTGGTGGTGGGGATTTCTTCTGAGGGCCTACAGTTGTCACCATGGTGGTGGTGCTTGGAATTTTTGTAATCCTCTGTTTCTCAGCAGCACTTTATTCTGTGAATAAGTGGAGAGAATGCCTCACCCCATATTAGTTTAATTAAAGCAGTGATCAAATCATTCTGGAGTTTGTATTCTATACAGAGTTCTCATAGAAACAAGTCGTTCACATACTACTTTCACCCTTTTCTCAGGGATTAATTGCCAGTGTGCAGGGTCTGTGTTGAGTACATCCTTCCAAGACACAGATAAGACTGTTCTACAAGACTCTCCCCATTGGGGCTCATGTACTGCTTCCGTTTCTCACCAAAACCCTCATTCAAACTAACTTCAAGTTCTATTTCACCAATTTAACCAACATGCCTAGACATACTTAAAATCTCCAAATGGTATAGGTGGTTCCTTGAATTCAGGGCTTCAGTAACAGCACCCAGTCCTCAAAATATTTCATACATTTATAACTTTTTGTCTTTCTATATGCTCTTTTCACCACCAGAAAGTTCTTCTGTGTTCTTTGACTGGTAAACCCCACTCTTAACCTTCAAACCCATTCCAAACATTACCATTTCTGTGGACCCTTGCCTTTCCCCCTCATAGTTTTCCATCGTTTCCCTTTCTATGTGCTATATCATCCAACCATGGCAGGTTAATACCTATTCCTGGAATTTATCATTAATGCTTCTATGCCTTCACACAGAGCACCTTTTGCCTGGAATATTCATCCTCTAATGTCTCTACTTAATGAACACCTACTCATCTTTTAAGACTTCACCCTGCTCATGTGAGATCTTGTCCACTTCCTCAGTGCACAGTTAGTTGTTCCCTCCTCTTACCCTGCACCAGCCACTGTAGTATTCATTATTTCTCATTTAATCCTCCCCACAGCTATATGTGGCAGGGACCATTGTGAACCTATTTTAGAGACGGGGATATTAAAGATTTTTACCTTTCACATGCTGTGTTATGCACTGTACAACAATTTTTCAGTCAATGGAAGACTGCATATATAATGGTAGTCCCATAAGATTATAATGGAGCTGAAAAAATCTTATTATCTGGTTATGTCTTAGCTGTTGTAATGTGGTACACCAATGTGTTACTCATATATTTGTGGTGATGCTGGTGTAAAAGAAAACATGGCATGCTGCCACACCTGCTACTCAT